CTGAAGATGTAACTGAATTGCTGCAATCTCATGATAAAAGTTTAATAGGTGAGGAGTTAATCTTTATTAATGAGCAAAGAAAGTGGTTTCTTGAGATGGAATCTATTCCTCGTAAAGATGCTATGAAGACTGTTGAGGGGTACGTGGCTGGCTCGGTCAGAAGAGCATGCAACTCTTGATTTCAGGGTCATGAGTTTGAGTCCCACACTGGCTGTAGAGATTATTAAAAAAATAATAATAAATTATAAAAAAAAGATTGCTGAAATGACAACAAAGGATTTAGAATATAAACTTAGTTGATAAAGCAGCAGCAAGGTTTGAGAAGACTGACTTCCAATTTTGAAAGCTCTACTGCAAGTAAAATGCTATCAAACAGCATCACATGCTACAGAAAAATTGTTTGTGAAAGGAAGACTCAATCAATACAGCAAACTTCACTGTAGTCTTATTTTAAGAAATTGCCACACCCACCCCAACCTTTAGCAACCACCATCCTGAAGAGTCTGCAGCAATCAACACCAAGGCAAGACCCTCCACCCAGCAAAAAGATTCAGACTCACTGAGAGCTCGGATGATGGTTAGCAACTTTTAAAAAATAAAGTGTTTTGAATGGCACCTGGATGACTCAGTCAGTTAAGCGTCTGACTCTTGGTTTCAGCTCAGGTCATGATTTCATGGGTCATGGGATCGAGCCCCATGCTAGGCTCCACACTCAGCAGGGAGTCTGCTTAAAGATTGTCTCCCTCTGCCCCTCCCCCACTCGCTCACACACTCATACACACACACTCTCTCTCTAAAATAAAGAAATAAATCTTTAAAAAATAAAGTATTTTTTAAATTAAGGTACATATATTGCTTTTTTAGACATAATGCTATTTTACACTTAAAAGACTACAGTATAGTGAAAACATAACTTTTATATACTCGAGCACAGGAAAACATGCTCAACATCACTAGCCATTAAGGAAACACAAATCAAAACTACAATGAGATACTATTTCACAACCACTAAGATGGCTTAAGAAAGATAACAACAAGTGTAGTCAAGGATGTGGAAAAATCATAACCCTCATACATGACTGATAGTAGTGTAAAATAGTGCAGCCACTTTGCAAAACAACTTGGTAGCTCCTCAAACTGTTAAACATCAAGTTACCATATGACCCAGCAAGTCTACTCCTAGGTATACATTCAAAAGAACTGAAAGCAGGGACTCAGATCTTTGTACATCAATATCCATAGCAGCATTATTCACAATAGCAAAAAGGTGAAAACAATCCAAATGTCCATTAACAGATGAATGGATAAACAAAATGTGGTATACACACATTATTCAGCCATAAGAAGGAATGAAATTCTACTACATGCTACAACATGGATGAACCTTGAAAATACTTTGCTAAATGGAAAAAGACATGAAAGGATAAATATTGCATGATTCTACTTATAGGACGTACGTAAAATAGGCACATTCAGAGACAAAAAGTAGAATGGAGATTACCAGGGACTGGGGGGAAGGGAAAATGGGGAGTTATTCAGGGACTACGCAATTTCTATTTGGGATGATGAACAAGTTCTGGAAATGAATATTGGTGATGACTGCACAACATTATGAATGTATTTAATGACACTGCATTATACAATTTAAAATGGTTCAGGGGCACCTGGCTGGATCAGTCAGTACAGCATGAAACTCATGATCTCGGGGTTGTGAGTTCGAGCCCCACGCTGGGTATAGAGATTACTTAAAAGTAAAATCTTAAGGAAACTAAAATAAATTAAAATGGTTCAAAGAATAAATTTCATCTTATGTATAATTTAACCACAATAATAAACTGCTAAAGCCAGAAAATAAAACTATGTACGTACCTAAGCTTGTGAAGATCAGACAAAAATTCACATGAAATATTTCATAAGTCCTTTACAATAATCCTAACACATACAGTTGAAAATACAATACTGATCATAAGGCGATATTCCTATTACAATCAGAAATCGTAATTTAGTGCAATTTTTGCTTTCTCTCTCATATATATGAGAAAAAGCATATTTACTTATATTTGTTAATATTAGAATCACAAGAGATACTGATAAGTAGTCATCATCTTGGGTGCATTCTCAAATCTTCAAACTGACACAAATACATAAGATAAGCAAAAGTCTCCTAAATTCCTTTGCAACCTATAACTGTCTAATAAATTCTCCTAGCAAAAAAAAAAAAAAAAAAAATTCTCCTAGCATGTATAGAACTGCCATGCTGTGCAGTTCTCTTGGACCCATTATTTTAACTTTCAGTCACACTCCTATAAACTTGCAAACTGGGAGTTTGAGATACGAGCCACATGTTAAACACTCAGAAGAAAACATGAAAATGGAAGTTAAAAGATGTATCTTAAAACTAAATAAGATAACTTGATTTTAAAAAGCAACACATCACAATTATATAAAGGCACCAATGACTGTAACCATTTGGTTTCTCTCCACCATCAAGCATAAACTGAACACCTATTTGTACTTAAAACAATGCGGAGTGGTTTAAAAAAAAAAAAGATTCCTCCTCAAGAAACTTAAAATTGAGTGGGGAGATTAAATTAATACACATAAAACAATACCAATACCATATGTATATAAAAATATTCAAATACCGAGGATACAAATTAAGAGTCATAGGAATTCAAAGAAGATAAGTGCTCTATAGTCCAGGAATGTTCCAGAGAAGATCTAGGCAAAATCTAGAAGTCCAGAAAGATGAGTAAAATCAAATGAAAATGAACCCTTCATAATCTAGCTTCATTTTGCCCACTCAACACTTTGTACAATATAAAATTATTAGAATAGATGAAGGTAGAGAAAAAGTCACTCCACATAAGTGAAATCACAGAAATACGAAATGAAGAGAGTAAACCAATTGGCCCACATTTAAGAGATTAAAACATTTTAAGTAGAGGGGCACCTGGGTGGCTCAGTCAGTTAAGCGTCCAACTCTTGATTTTGGCTAAGGTCACGATCTCAGGGTTCTAAGATTGAGCCCCCGTCTGGCTCCATGCTGGGCATGGGCCTGCTTCAGATTCTCTCTCTCTCCCTCTCCCTCTGCCCCTTCCCCACTCCCC